CCCCCCCTAAACCTCGGAAGTCATACACCCTGCATAAAAGCACAGAGGGGCGGCTGCATGCGGGGCACTAGCTGGTCTTGCCCTCGCCGAGCCACCTGTCCGAAAGGACACTCTTGGGGCAAAACAAACGAAAGGTTCCATGCTTAGAACAAAGGCCTTATAGAATCCAGTCTGCAACAATCCAGCATCGTGTACCTCGCGAGAATCAGACAAGTTCTTATGGATCTAGTTGAAGCCGTGCCGGGGCACCATCGGGGACCGGCTGCCTCTGCCGCCAAATCGCAACCCACCTGGGCAGCGACAATTACGAAGACCAACCCGAAAGAACCTATCAACCCACAGAGTCCCGGGATTCTGCATGCTCAGTTCCCCACCCTTGAAAATGCCCAAGGGAGGAAACCATCGCCACATGCTTGGAGCCTGCGACCGGAAAAGGTCCAGGCAAAATGCGACCATAAGACAGCTCGAAGAACGAATTGATTGGCATCGGTTCTTTTTGGCCGGGCTTTCATTCTTGGAATCCACAGCTGCCACAGCTAGAACATTTCTGGCTGATCGGACCCTAGGAGATAACCTGTGTTGTAGCTGGGTTTGTAGTTTCTTTCCTGATCAGCACAGCAGACTTAGCCGCCCTAGCCGCCCTAGCCCTCAGCTTCAGACTTCGTCAGCTTCTCTGGTGTTTGGACTCCCCCATGCAGTCCTAAGTACGGTGAGCACAGTCCACACATCAAGATTGAAACTGAACCCACATCGAAGTACCCAACTCTGAATGGAAGCCCAGGATCTGACTGCTGTTTGGGCTTCCCAAAACTTCTTGGCCAACTCTCGCACCGAACCACCCTTCCGGTAGTTTTCGCAGATCACGGCCACCTCCTCACTCGTGAGAATGTCCTCAAAGAATCGAGCTAGTTTGGTTAGGCATGAGCTTCAAGCAGCAATGTTGTCTAATGCATGGGGGCGGCGTGAGGGCTGTCTTTCTCTGGCCACAGCACAGACTGCACTTGGTGGAACCAGGGCAACGGCATCTCGTGAAGTCCTAATGCACAAAATGCACAAGGGAAGCAGAATGCATCTGAACATGGCCATGCATTCAGAATCGAACTGTCCTTGAGACTTCAGAGCATCGAATGCTCCTTCAGGAAGCTCCATGAGGTCAGCAACCTCCTTAAAGCTTGAGCCCAACACTATAGATCGTTCAAAGCTGAAGCTCAACCCAACAGCACCAATCTTGCACAAGCAAATCAATGCAGAATGGCGGGGGTCGCACCTCAAGAGCCGTCGGGGCTCGGAAAGCGATGAGGAAACAGCTGCAAACACCGATTTGGACAAATCAGCCTCCGAATGTGCAATCCAGCCGTGGCCCGCATAAAACCGCCTAACCTCAAGAAGAAACCCCTTTCCCCGGATGTGGCTGAAATTCTGGCCCCCAAGGGTTTTCCAGGTATATATATATATACACATGTATAGATGTATTCGCATAGGGATGTTTGTAAGCGTGTATACAGACACACTCTTTCCGTGCATCTGGTTCCCGCCTGGCCCGGGCCACAGTATAACACTACTATAAAATACTACATTCCTTTACATAAAACTATCACATAATATTCTGCTATCATATTACATTCTAGTTGTACGAGATGATATGATACTATATGACACCACTCTTCCGAAACCAGTCGAGAATCTGACAGTTAGGCCCCAGGTTGCGCATGTACAGTCGAACTCCTGGTGATTAGGTTGGAGGTCAGCACCTCGCCGCTCCAGCGCCTTGCGAAAATGATCCGATGTCAAGTTCTGGCTGACCAGCGAGTGATGCCAGCAGGCCTGCCATCACCGAAGGCAGCGAGCACCTGCGAGCCCGGAATCCAGAGATGCCTCTTGCCTAGACAGCGGCGCCTAAGCCTCAGCGCGATCTTCTGTTGCACGCAAGCGGGAAGCCATGAACATTCGGACACCGAACCTGACAAGCGCTGCTGAATGTTCCGAAATCTTTCCACCAATGTGCCCAAGTCGTTGCCCCTACAACACAGAAGCACGACAGCATGTACCTTTCTTTGGCAACTGTAGACTCCGGTCAGTATTTAGCGGGACACGGCAGCACATCACGAGAACCGAATAATTCATGAAGTTGTTGCTGCAGGACCCGTCGCTTCATTTGTCACGCGATTAGCCAGCATTGGAATACATACGCACCACATGCACAAGAAATAGCAATCGTTGCAACACTGCTGCCGTGATGAACTACAGCACATCTTCAATTTCCAGTCTCTAATTACGGATTTAAGGCACAGCTTGTGCAACGATTCGTGAAAACTCGACTGTTGAGGCTTGGTGAGTCCCTGGAAGAGCGCATTGAGCGGTTGGCCGTGCGCGATGTGCTTCCGACAGCAAAGAGTACGAATTTGATGTTGTCTGTCCCCCTCTGTCTTCTTCACGGTTTTTGTTGCTGCTGTGCTTGAGAGGCGGATCCATGTCAGCAAGTTGAAGTCGCTGTCAGGGTTGCGCCCGGGTTCTTTTATCTTAAGGTGGCTCGAAGGCAGCTCGTCCGGAGCGAGATGCAGAAATCCATGTTCAGGACCTGTCACACTGTGCATGGCTGTAAAGCACGAAAGGGGCTGTGAGACCTATGATGATGCATTGTCGGTGTCGCCCCAACTGGCTTTGCACTGCACTCAAGTCTGGCTGGTGACCAAGTTGTGCGGACGGATATTTTGTGGTTCGTTAGCTGGTGTGCCCTTTTGGCAGCTTGGCTGCTGGCCTTGTAGATTTCTGCTCGCAGGGATTGCACCTTTGCTCCCGCGGTCAGCCAGCAGTCGACACTGCAACCTGGCTATGGTTGGATATGATTTCCTCGGCTTCGCGCTTTGGCTTCGGGGAGTTGAGACAGACGTGACCGTTTCAGGCTTCGGGTCATTCTGCGGAGTGCGGTCGAGGTACATGTACTCTCAGGCTCGCGTCAGATCTATTAGGATGCAAGGAAATTGGCGAGAGATTGGGGTTTTTGTCACATATACCAGCACGCTCCGTGATGCTACATCTAAAGTTGTGACAAAGGCATACCAGGCCCAGTTTCACATCCGGCATGTGGCCACAGATCTGGAGTGCGGATTGCCTCTAATTTTAATTAAACCATAAATTTGTGGACCGTGACGAGCATTTGATGAGCCTGACACGCGTGTATCTATTTTCAACTTATGTGTTTGTTGATCTGTCTCTGCAGGTGTGCGTGGTTTCCAGAGCACTTTGTCAACAAATCCCAGACTCAAGCTCAGGATAAACAGCGCGCGTGCCATGCGCTCCTCGGCAGACGGTGGCAGCTTGGCCGAAAAGAAGTCGCATCGGCTTTATGACCTCTATACAGGTCCACCGATGCCTGTTACTTGTAGCTGGCATTGCGTTGATGAAAAGGCCGCAGACATACACCACATGACATGAACTCTGCACTGTACTGTGCTAGTCACTTGTCGCTAGCGGGATTGCAGCACATGAGTTGCATTGCTCAGTTTCACTACATTTCGGGCTGTTTGGGCCGAGACCCTCAGGGAAAAAGAGCACTCGAAGTATCCTGCCAAATAGATACAGATTCAGCAGGCCGGAAGGGACACTGGAAGGCAACAACCCTTCGTAACTTCGGCTGCAGGCGTTCACGACCGCCTCTACGCCGATGCAGTGGCCAAAGAGAAAATGCGCGAGGCCTCTCCGGCTCGTGCCGAGCGGCTCGTCTTTCAGGGAGACTTACAGTTACGGAGGAAAGGAGAGCTACGACGTGTCGATGCCGAAGTACAGTACGGAGGACTTGGATATTAATTTTCACTATCTGAAGCTCCAAGCCCCCGAGCTGCTGAACCCCGAGCAGTGAATCCCAGGAACAGTTTTCAGCCACAACTGGACCGAAGAGGGAGCCGACTCTATTCGCACGTCCGTGCGCACTACACGAAGCCGGTCCGGCCCTCAACCTCGGTTATCGCCGCGGAAAGCTGTGTGGGCTGTCAGATGTGATGGATGTTGCGTTCGGGATGCTTGAGTAGTGGGAGTTGTTATTTGGAGAGCACCGTGGGTACACGTGTGACCTGCAGCTGCCAGTTGGTGGTAAAAGCTGCCTTGCGTGCTTGTCCATCCGTACTTGGAGGTTCATGGGTAGTTATAACTGGGGTTATAAGTCCCCTAATATGGGTTATAACTATAGTTACCCTACTTATAACTCCACTTATAACTAACCATGAACCTCCAAGTAGTCCACCTCATCGCCTCACCCCCCCTAAAATGGGTAGTTCTCTAAATTCGGGTCCCTACTATGGGGTCCTGTTTATGCGGGTGCCGTACTATATCGGGGGCTTAAAAAAGCACCCCAATTTAGAGAACTACCCAAATGCCCTTTACCGACATCGTCTCAGGGCTCAGGTGTTAGGGTCTTGAAAGGGTGCCTTAATTACCTATACTCTTTTGGGGGCTCCTTAATTACAAGGTAATTATAATGGAGTATACCCCCAAAACCCTTTGGGGACTCCTCAAGTACTCTAGCTATAATAGAGTATACATACCCCAAAAAGCCCTCGTCCCATTACTAAGGCCCCTACCATCGACCTTTTCCAGGGTTTTTGGTTGGCTTGAGGGCTGCCCTGTAGCGAAGCTGGCGGTCTAGGGTTTGTGGGGTTTTGGGGCTCAGGGTGTATCGGGTTTAGGGTTCAAAAGGGTTTAGGGCATTTGGAGTCAGGGTTGTCTTTGCTGGAGGCTTCTGGGGTGGCAGGTCCGTTTCTCGCTTCCTATCCGTGACGAGTAACATGTTTCCGTCCCGGCGAGGGCGGCGCTGGTGCTTACAGTGCTTCCGAGTTTTCGTCACAATCCTTATATTGTTATGATGATTTGTATACACATACAAATACATATACATATACATATACATATACATATACATACATACATACATACATACATACATACATACATCCATGCATACATGCATACATGCATACATGCATACATGCATACATACAGATAATATGTAGAAAGTCGATTGACTGTGGTCTTTCTCATGCGGGGTTGTAAGGGCACTTTTGAAACCCCGGCAGTCTCAATAT